GTTTGCGACAATCAAAGAGATACGGCAAGCCCAGATTGAGGCTGGCGAAGTTGAAAATGATTCAGATGAATCCAGCGCATCTGAATTACCCAGTGAGGCCGAAAGTTGCATTATTGTGGCTTCAAGAGGTAGTTGATAATTAATTGAATAAAGTGGTGGTGGTTGCGATGGCGTCAATTCATGGCGGTCGAAAAGCAGGGGTGGTCGAAAAGTGGGTGCTTTGACTTATTTCACTAGCTATGAAAGAGAACGATTATCGAGATACTCTTTTGGCCCAGAGTCCTCAAGATACAGATGCAACAGTGTTTTGTGGCATTGATCAATTTCAAGGAACTTGTTGTTCCTCGTAGGTCGCTTGTTGTCGGCTGCCAAAAGATGAATCATGTGTGACGAACAATCAGGGAGCGAACACGGTCGGTATTAATAGCTCCTATGACCTCCGCCCGCACGCGCTATGCCTCTTATGTCCCGTGGCTAATCAGCGGGGTCATCCTGGTTGATACGTTTGCGAGTAGCCGGTCCTCGTGACACTCAGAGAGTCTATAGTTAACTAGAAGAACTTGTTTTTGATAAACGACAAGCCAAGTCAAACTATCAATGGTTCATTAATCGATTTTATTGCTACTTTGACTTTGAGCGAGACTCGGCCATATGTCGTCAATGTATATGCAGCGTGTGCTCTGCTGAGCGAGCAGACAATTTCAATAAGTGTTGATTCCTATCTGGACTGATACTAGAGTACACATCGCCAGGCGAATAGTCAAATACCATCGACGAGAACAACACCGGTGGGAAAGATGGTAGGAACAAAGTGAAGAACCATGATTAGGACGCTACAGAGGATGATGGCTAAGGGGACGTAACAGTACGAATAAGGATTGAGTCCTTCATCAGCGAAACCATCGTGTAACATCACGTGGCATCTTGCAGTGAATAATTGATTGTCTGTACTACTGACCTATTTTCCACGGGCCACTACATGGCATACCTAAAGGTCTCCGATTGCTCGAAGTCCGTCTTATCCGTAAAATCAGGCCGTGCTCCAGGTAAGACGCTAAAGTTCTGTTGTTCAGCCCATTTCTGACGCCGTGAGTTTTCACGTCTGTACCAGGAAATCTGGCAGATCGGCACCACGATCATGAGAGCGTAGCAGACCACTAATTTGTTCAGATGAGATGAGCTCAAGTCAACGAAAAGCATGGGTCACCCACTCAACATTTTGAAAGCCATGTTGTATATCGGAGCCTCGCTCTCCAAAAAGAATTCTGTCGCATCATCAGTTGATCGGGTTCTTGTTCTCAATCTCCCGGGCTTACTTACGAGGACCTGCGATTAGACCAGCAGCCCAACCCGCAAACACAATTGCCGACGCAGTCGACTTCTTCGTGTTACCTGCGTAGTTTGATGCCATGAGACCCGCATTGAGCGTAAATGACATGCTGTGTCTGTGTTCGAGTTAAGTTGAGCGTCGCTTTCGATACCAGGATTAGGCTTACGTGTAAGTGAGATAGTAGCCCGCGAGTCGGCCGGCTCTATCTGAGTTTGGAAGTGCGTGGAGCAGAGAAGCCCCAATGAGAGGCGGCACTGAAACAAGTATTGACAGAAGAAGGCGAATGTTCTTCCGACGAGACGCGAGCCAAGAAAAGAAGAGGAAGAAGCCAAGCTGGATGGCAGCTGCGGGGCAGGTTGAAATCATTGTTGTAGCGATAGTAGAGAAACCAAAGCCTTTGACAATCTGGCTGGAGAACTGAAAGTTACGTCAATTTGGATTCCAGAATGAGGGTCATTGAGCTTGAGATCTTACCTGGCTAGCAAAGGTCGATGGCATGGTGTTTCCCCTAAGCAACGTGAGGGTGTCAGAAACTCAACTTGACGCCAGTCAATAAGTAGAGGTGCACCGAGACTACTCACATTGCTGTGGCAAAAGAAAACACCGTCTGCGGGTCTCTCAGAGCCTCCCAAAATTGATCCCACTTCCATTGGTTGTTAGATGTGACAGTCTGGTTTTCTCTTACTCGCTCGATGGCTACTTTCCTTTCCCTCTCACTCAGCCACCTTGCATTGGCTTGATGGTCAGGCATGAAGTACATGAGAATAAGCGAAAATGCAAAGCTCAAGGAACCAAAAAAGAGAAAGAAAATCTTCCATGTTGCGATCGACCCATGGACTAGAAGCGAGCAGTCAGCTTAGATGCATGCCGTACAGATGCAGGGGCAACTGACTTGTGCCCAAGGCGTAACTCAAGATTCCTCCGAGGAAATTTCCGACCTGTATTATTAGTCCTTGTGTCTTGAAACTTATGGTTTCCAACTGACTGGTGTGCCTCCCAACCAAAATGCAGTTCTGAATGCCTGCTCCGGTCGTGTCCACCAATTGCTAGTGATGATGACGAAGACTGGCCCGATGATTGACTCCATGAGACCCAAGAAAAACCGAACAGTCATGATTCCCGCCAAATTGAAGCAAAGAGCTGTATTCCATTGACCATCAGCACATGATATACCCAAAAAGGATAGATCGGGAATCATTCTTACGGGTCAAGAGAACGATTATAGACCAGATGCACACAGCGTCGGAGACGAACTTGCCAACATGCTGGGGCCAACGATGCACAATCTTGGACCACATCATGGATCCGAACATGTAACTTATGTAAAAGATGCTGGAAACAATGTAAGCCAAATGCGATCGTCCAGTTACGAGGACTTTACAGCACCAACCTCCCCAGCCAGCTGTAGTCGGTGCCTTCCAGCTTCAGTGCCTCCTTTATTCCGAAGATGGAGGCGTAATTGAGAAGCGTCTTGTCAAGAAACTGTCATGACGAAATCAGCTCATTGTCGCAGGATTAGATGCTCCAGAATGGGCGTACAGAAAAGACGTAGCAGAGACCCATCAGGGGAAGCATGATCCGGTCAATTTTTCTCTTCGCGTGCTTGTTCTCCTCTTCCGTGATGTTTGTCAACTCGGAGATTCCGTACACCTTCATATTAGAAGATTGACCATTTGCGATATCAATTTCGACATGGCTGCCGGATTGATCCTTGTCTTTTGCGTGGGGTTGATGGTCGTGGATATGGGCAGACATCTTGAACAACAGAAGATTGTTAGGGAACGCCAAGATTCGAACGGCCCTTCCATTCAGTCTGGGGAGATCATCTTTAAGAAATGTCTTCCCTGGTACTTTAACCTGTAGAGACTCCGAGGTAACGGAGTCCGACTCAATCGGCAATCTCTGGTGGGTCTAATTCATTGGCTGTGATGATGACCGACTATGTCGGAACTTGTGTCATGTGACACTATCGGCCGCTTGTATAAGTCGTCTGTCAAGGGATCTTGTCGGCGGCAAGACGCGATGCATAGCGACATATACGCCGAAGGACATATAAGATAATTCAGATAGCTCTACTGGCTTCTGGTTTGAAACCCTCTGACAAACAGCCAGGTCTGCGATCTTTTCAGCTTCCTCCGACACGTCATGTTGGCCACTAAGACTGACCAGCCAGTGGCTGAGGCCATCGTTGGGTTGCCGAAAATCAAGTTTCTTCCCGAAACGGTGACTTCTCACGCCGTTATTGTTGAGCCATACCATGTGGATCTTCTCGGAGAGTATAACTATACGAGTCGCGAATATCTCATGAGCGGCACTGCGGCTGGCGAGTCGTACTGCACCCGCCTGCTTCTCCGCTGCCCAGCAAGCAACTCCGACTTCACCGGCTTACTTCACACTTGTGGGATGGAACCAGTATCTGGAGACATATTAATCGTTGGTTGATGCGTAACGGTAAGCTACCTGAATCCTGCTGTTTTTGGCACCGCTGACGGCTTCCGAGGCCATGCTTGGCTAGAGGTCGACCCTCAAGCTCCTTCGGCCCTCGGCAACATCAAGCGTGAAAATCCTTCGCGTTACAAGGACATGCACTTCGTTCCGAGCCCCTTGTCAGACGAGTTTCGGGAAATGATTCCTTTCGTGGCGTCTGCTACCAAAGAGTCGCTCCGAGATGCGTACGACACATTCAAAGCTCAATGGTGGCCAGCAACGACACAATCGCCCGGAATCATAACCCAAGCCTCTCATGCACTTCGCTCGGGTGACCTGGGTTTGACGGCTACTCGTGTAGTGTTGACCGGACTATCACAGACCGGGGGGCTCACCAGACGCTTCATCACTCATTCCTCTAACTTGCGTCTACCCGACGGGAACCTGCCGTTCGATGCGTTCATTCCTTGTCAGTCAGGCGGCAGCGCCCTTCCTGATGTCCCCGGCGCAAAGATCATTGAGCTCCTAGGCGAGGCAGAGTTCCTCTCGGTGAGACTACCTTGCGGAGTAAGCGGGCAAATGAGAGGCACGAAGCATCGGAGACCTGACAGCGACGCATTCCGACTGTATGAAGTGGCCGGCATGGCCCATAGGGAATCAAGATATGCGTCTGATCGCGAGCTCGAGCGCTGGTCTGTTGCTGAACTTCACGGTGCGAATTGGAGCACCTTTGCGAATTCTTTCATTTACCATGCTATCTTTGATATGATCGAGAAATGGACTGGTGAGGTCGCCATTCCCCCGCCACCAAGCTCGACTATATACACAATTGAAGATAGCGACGAAATCTTGCGGGATGAGCATGGCAATGCTGTTGGGGGCGTTCGGACGGTGCACATGGAAGCGCCGCTTGCCAGAGTCGTCGCGGCGACCCCGAAAGGGAGACCAAATTGGTACTGGGGTAAGTCATTCGCACGGTCGTTTCTAAAAAGTCGCTCGACTTAATCTGATTGAAATAGGTTCTGAATGGCCGTTTGGTGAGAAGAAGCTTCGAAACTTGTATGGATCTGTAGGAAACTATCAATCAGTTGCAGGACGTGCTATCAATGAACAGGTGAAGTCAGGGTTCCTTCTACCTGAGGATGCAGAGATACTACGTCGGGAAGTGGTTGAGAACGTCGATTTCTAAGTATGGTTATCTACTACACGGTCTTTGTAAACAGCTTTAACCAAGGCAATTCCATCAATCCCATAGAAACCCGCCGTCCCGCCTCCACAGACCAGCTGGATCATATCGCTTCTGCACATCCCGCAAGAACTTTTGACTCTCCTGGCCGTAGCTCGCCTGCACAGGTTGATTCAGCAGTGCATAGTTCATGTACCTTGGGTTCGTCCGATAGAAGTCTGCGTTCTTGACGGCTGCAGATCCAGTAACAGCATTCGAACTGAGCACGCCGGGGGCAAAGGTCGTCGCCATCGAATCACCCTCCTTGCTCATTTCTTCGGCGAACCCGAACATCTTCGCGTCGTCTTTCGCCTCTCCCCATGCGAGTGAGTAGTCGATCCACGCAGTGTCGCCAGCGTCTGGCTCGAGACCCATCACATTTTTGACGCCCGTCACATTCTCGCCCGCGCTCATGACGCGGGCGGGAACTGGGACGAGTGCCATGGAGAAGAGCAGACCTACGTCCCCGGCCGCCGTGGCGTTGGCTTTGTCACGGAAATTCTGCCAGTGCTTGAGGTAAAGGCTACCCCCATGCGGCGCCTCAAGGTTCGGGAACGTGTGGCCACCGATCAGCCAGCGCTTGAGAGGCAGATTTCCATTGTTGTTTGATGCAATGAGGGCCGAATAACTCTGTGCGGTGGTGCTGTCTGCCATAGGCTTGGCCGCGTAGAAAGGGGCGAAGGGGCTGGTGTCCCCAGCAGGTGGAGAGGGGCCGTTGTAAAAGACGTACACGTTGAGGAAGGACAACTGTGGATTTGCGCCGCCTCCCATGCTGAGGTAGATGTGTGAATTGGGGTCGTACTTCGCACTGAAGGTCTGCGTAGCGTTGAAGACCTCTTCAGCTTTGTCGATGGAGAAGGACAGAATGCCGCCCCATATCTGCGACTCGAGAGGATAGGTCTTGAGAGTGAAGCGCGTCACAATGCCAAATTGGTTACCGCCGCCCTTGAGTGCGCGGAAGAGGTCAGGCTCGGACGTTTGATTGACGTTGGCGATAGTTCCGTCGGCAAGAACAACCTCATAGTTGAGGACGTTGTCGCATGCGAGTCCGTGTAACCCGCTGAAGTAGCTGAGACCGCCTCCGACGAGAAGGCCGCCAACACCGATTGCTGAGAACCGGCCCCCTATGACTGTCACCTTCTCGGCTTCCAATGTTTTGTACACATCCACCCAACGTGCACCGGTTCCCACGACAGCATGGCCTTTGTCGGCCACATTTTGGGTCCCGTTGATCAAGTCAAGCGAGATAAGGACGCCACCGTCGGTGTTTGACCAACCCGGCGATGAGCCATGACCTCCGCTCTTGATGGCTAGTCGGACATCTTTGCCGGAGGAAGACAGTATCTTGACGATGGATGCCACCTGCTGTGCGTCTTTGGGACGAGTGATGCAAATCGGGCTCAGGCTGCCGGCAGTTTGGCTCCAGTAGTTATCTTTGATAGCTTGGTATCCGGTTGTGTTCGGCGCCAGGAACGCCTCGGCTGGTAACGTCGCAGCAAGAGCCGAACAAACATCACCAGCGGTCGAGGAGGCAACGCCTTCTACTGCGAGCAGTACTGACATTATGAAGCCTAACAGTAATGTGTGGCGCATTTGTTGGGCCAGGGTGCTCCACATCATCCCACACATTGACGTTGGACAAACAATGATGTGAGGTCCAAATGAAGCGAAGAAGAAGTAGAGATCAGAACAGTGTTGAACGGCGAATCCCCCGCATTTTAAACGTCTCCCACCGGGTTGCACGCGCACAAGAGTTGAGCTAAGGTAACCCGAGTGGCTCGGTCTAGCAATCAAACTCAATTCAACTACCGCAAGGGCACTGATCCGTAGACTCCGGTGCTTTCGTAGGCCGAGCAACCCGACCGGTTCGCATCTTCTCGAGTTTTGGCTTCCGAGGCCGACGAATACAAATGATCGTTCGCAAGCAGTCTTGGTTCCGAATCACTTCAAGCAAGCACGTTGGGTGGATACTGGATTGTTGTCTGTTCGAGGTGCCTCGTAAGATATCGAGTCGAGTAATGCTTAGTACTGTTGGGTGTGATGAACTCATGGATATTTCGTGCGCTATTTTTATTGGACACTGGTGCTAGAGTCATTCATTTCTGATTAAAAGCGCATGTATTTATGAAAGCCTGCGTGAAAATGTACGTTCATGCATATCCCACCGGCTGTTCTGCGCTACTTTACGCCAATGTGACGCTACGTCGGCAATTGAGACACTTCAACCGACAACTCGGAGAATTTTCACAACAAATGAATAAGAAATTGACAATAACTTAATGACTTGGTGACTAGTTCGGGTTTCGAATGTCCTTCATCGGCGGAAGTTGGAATCAGTACTACCTCAGTGGAAAGTCAAAGGAGCGCTTTCGTCCGCGAGCCTATTCTTAGTGGAACTGTTGAATAACATAGAGTAGTATTTTGCTATTGAACATAGGAAACCAGTCTATCAAAGAAACCCGCAAGAGATGAAACAAAACTAGAGCCTCTATATCATACAAAGCATGCCAAGGAAATCTAAACTTCTAGCTTGACACCAGTAAGCTTCAAGCTAAGCTCCCATAGCTTATTCTCTCCCTCCTCATCAAAAGCATGGGGCCCATATCCGTGATCAGCCATTGACATTGCAGTCTCAGCGGCTGCTGGACCACCCAGAGCGACGTCAAATAAATACTTCCCGCCCTTGCCCTCCCAGACGTCAGCAATCGCAGCCCAAGTAGGCGTCGCGGCGCCCTGCTCCGGCGTCTTAATGCCAGCTGCGACCGCCGGGTCTGACTGCCAAGTCTCAGCCTGCGCAGGGTCGATGTGCACGTGGAGAGGAGTCGTGCAGATTCCAGGCTGGACGCTCACGGAGTGCACTCCGCGGGGACCGTAGACGCGGTCGATGTAGTTGGACATCCAAATGTTGCCAGTCTTGGACTGGCCGTATGCGAGCCAAGGGTTGTACTCGCCCTTTGTGAAGTTGTAGTCGTCAAATCTGATGCAAGAGAACCTATGTCCTGAGGAGGTGATGGCTACGACGCGGGAGTTGAACTCAGGTGTGCTGCTGTTGATGAGGATCGGGAGAAGCAATGTGGTAAAGGTGAAGTGGGCCAGATGGTTGACGCCGAATTGTTCGTCGAAGCCATCCTTGGTCTTGGTTGGCTCAGGGACTGCCATGATGCCTGCGGAAAGAATTAGTATTTCTCAACGGCAATAGTGACTTTCAGTAATGGAACCTACCAGCGTTGTTGATAAGCACGTTGAGCTTCGTCGATCTGTCCAAGAAAGCCTGCGCAGCGTTCTTGACAGAGTCGAGGGAGCTCAAGTCCATGTCAATGGCCTCGAACTTTCCGTTACCCTTGGAAGACTTGGTGATGTCTTCAACGACACCCTTGGCCTTCGCTGAGTCTCGAGCCGTGATGTAGACGTCGGCCCCGGCAGTGTGGAGCGCTCGAGCAGTCTCAAGACCGAGTCCGGAAGTGCCTCCGGTAATGAGGACGACCCGGCCCGTCCATTCGTTGCCGAGCTTGCTATCCTCAATGACTTGAAGTGCGGTGGGGCGGGCATCTCCAGGGCCCTTGGGGTTGGCGAAGAGATCAGCGTAGGGGTGGAAGGCGTCCATGTCAAAGATTTATGATGCGACTCTTGATATAAGATTTCATCAATTGCTTTATAGTGATTTGAAAACTGTGATTGCTGGGGAGTTTGCTGGTATGAATGTGTGAAGAGTGTGTTGATGATCTGTTTTTCAAGACACGATGCAGAGAATTCAGACTTCTTTTATATCTTTGAGATTTCCTTTTCCTTCCCTTAACTCCATTCGAATTTTTAAACAACTGCATGTCATGCATGCTGAATTTTCCGTATTCTGCATCCCCAATTGCCCGCTCATGGCTATCGTTGATACCACGTCGCCGCGATGCCCTCACAATTTCCGCCCAAAAATGCGGGGAAAGCGGCTTTTCTCAAGCCAAAGGCGTACTGAAATGTCCGCCCAGGAGCTCCCAATTGTCCGCTCCAACTTTCTTGGATAGGGCAATCGACAGGGCTTAGCGGAACGAGCCTGGGAGGCGTCGCTAGTCCCGATCCTTCGAGGGACTTTTGAGCTTATGTCCGATTCAGGCACCACCGAATGCGCTTTTCAGCAGCAGGCAACACGGAAATAGTGGAGGAAACACAACGGCTTTGAGGTTGCGCCGATAAAGATGCCACACGTGGTTGGCGGCCCGGCGACGGCCGCTTTTTCTGCATGTCAGACTGAGGTTTCGCAAAGCTCGCTCTCTCATTATCCCGCATTCGCTGTGGCCGTTTGACGTGAAGCGGAAGAGTTTGCCCGATGCTCGTCTCATTTATCTCATAAGCGGTGCCAAAAGCATGAGCGGACGTAGCAGCGGACCTCGCACCACACCTTCACTTCACTCCAATCCCTAAGCCCAGGAGGGCAAGCCATACTGCCTGCCGGTAAATTTCTCTTTTCCCCCTGTCGCAACTATGTCATCTTCCCTTTCCGAGACAAATGTCCACTCGGATGGCCCTACGGAACGGGCACCTCAATCATGCCGTCAATGCAGGTAAGTCTTCACAAGGCTGCTAGATGAGCCATCCACGAACGCCTAACGTTTATGCCTGCTCAGGCGCCTCAAGAGGAAGTGCCCGAAAGATCTTCCCTCCTGTGCTCTAGTATGTCTTTGAAGTGGTTCATCAGCTATTGTCGATGCTGATGATACTTTCTTAAAGTGCGTTCGGCTCGGAAAGAAGTGCCAGTACCCAGCCGGCCGCAAGGCCTATGGCTCGCCACAGGAAGATTTGGAAGATATGCAGTTCACATCAATGTCAACACCAACCTCGGCGTCTGAAGTTTCAACATTTGTAGCTCCATCTGCTTCCAACTTTCCGACTGCATTCTTCCTCGATGCAGACTTGTTCCAGCCGATCTCTCACGACGCCTTGCGCTGCACATCGGAAGTGCCCCCGTACATCTCCGAGCTTCTTGGTCCCAACATGATGGCTATCTGTGAAGCGTACTTCGGCTCTGTTGACCTCTGGTTTCCATTCGTCAGTAGAAAGAAGGTGAGGCAAGACCTAGAAGCAGGTGTCACGGCGGAATTGGCCCTACTCCTGCTCTGCATGAAACTTGTATCGGGATCTACCCCAGCTGATAATATGCATCAATCCGCTGCTGAATTAGCTGTCTATCAAGCTGCTCGGAGATTTGCAAATGCGTTGGAAGTCATCATTCCAACATCTATGCGTCTTTTCCAGTCTCTCGTGCTCATAGCTCTCTACGAGATTGGCCACGGCATATGTCCCACCGCCTACCTTACGATTAGTCTTGCTGCACGGCTCGGCCTTTTGAGAGGGGTGCATGATCGTAACAATGCCACGCAACTCTTCCAGATTCCTCCAACTTGGACTCACTGGGAAGAGGAGCGAAGGACATGGTGGGCAACTTCCATATTAGAGCGGTATGTTTATCGGACAAATTCAGAGCCCTGGAATTTTCGCAGAGCAGAAACAAACAGTTATAGGCAACTAACTCGTGATAGTTACATAAACCTTGGCCCCACAGGATTTCCCCTTGCTACCCCCGAGCCTGTTCAAGGCGAATTACTGCCTATATCGGACACGGAATGGTTCCGCGGGTCAATAGGAACAAGCCAACCGCTTTACACGACAGGCTTCTCAACCGACTCGGAGATCGGCCCTTTTGCGCGAACTTGTCAGGCTTCCCACATACTCGGCCGAGTGCTTGCGCATAGAAACTCTCGAAAAGACTCCGTGATTCAGAAGGAAACTCTGGATCAAGCACTCCAGCTGGAGGCAACGCTGGGCGCTCTCGATTCTCACCTTTCTCAGTCAACGGACGGCGGGTCGGCGATTGTCGACCTAGCTCTCTGTACAGTCGCACGGCTGACTTTGTATCATGGCTACGCATGCATCCAACCCGGCGCCAGAGGGGAGAGACTACCAGAGGAAAGCGACATGCAAAATGCTTCGATACGCGGGTTGAAGCAAATCATTTCAACACGCGGCCCAATGATCGCCACCTTTGTCATTCAGCAGGCGGCAATTGACATCAACAGTCTGAGCCCACTTGTGATCCAAGTGCTTTACGACATTGCAACTGAGTGCCAGTGGTTTGTCCGCGAGGGCGATGTTGCCGATGGCGCAGACACGACTCTGCAATTGGCTATGGAAGCTTTGATACTGCTTTCGCAGCGGTGGACGGTAGCAGGTGCGTATCGCTTTCGTCAAAAGTAACATTCGCGTAGCTGACAGCCAAAAGTTCAATGTCTCAATCTCTTAAATAGTTCGAGCGGACATTAATGCGATCTACTATGCCAAGACGGCCAAGAAATGCCATCAGCCTTTGTTTTGCTTCTTTTCACGTCAAAGAACTTTAGTTGTTTTCTCTTAACCTCTTGGCATGGGCCCCCCAGTGAACCTTCAGCAGTGATTGAGTCGTGTGTTGAAGAAAGTTACCGATCGACCACACCACTACGAATTTGAAACAATGGCAACTTAAACCCAGATCTTTGGGATCGGAATATATGCCAAGGAAACCCTAGATTGAGTTTGCACCGACAGTTGGACTTGCAGGGTTCCTTGGCTGCGGGCGTTCGTCTGATGAGGTTGCATTTGAGAAGAGTGTAGCGCTTCAACCTCAATTGGTCTTCAACCTCACTTCAACTTTTGGTACGCTCAATCGATTGCAACGTTCATGACCTATACTGCACGTTAGCTTGACCAAAAAAATCCCATATGACGCGGTCGCGATTGCAGTGTGAGTAGCTCACCGAGAAATGGTACATCAGTCTTGAGTCTCAGAGTTGAGTTGATTGGGGCCGCTTCAACACATTGATGCAGGAAATTCACCAACACCACGTATTTTCCCCTCAGCGGCATGGAGCATGAGTCAACTGAACAGATAAGCCAACTCTTGTTGCCGGGACAGAGTGGGAAAGTTGGCATCCCGATTCGGCGAACGTTGTGTTGATCACAACGGAAGGTGGGCAACGCGGCCGAAGTGTTTCGGTGGCCCGGGCTCCGGAGTTGTCCAGCGGAACTCTCCTTCGGAGGATATGTCAATATCTCGGGGAGCGGGCCCGGGGAAACAAACGTGTGAAAGGTCCATCACGGATCTCAACCGATCACCTGCATTCGACTGAGTCGAGTGAACTTGACAGAATGCCACAATTTTAACTTCCAGTGCAACATCTCCCGTGATGGAGCAGGCGGGCTCTTCGGTAAACTCTGTTGATTGTTTCCCACGTGAGCGGGATGCTTGCACTGCTCCAAAAGTGGTCGGTGCTGACCTCATCCAAATTGCATACTGACTCAGCGTCGTGAGGGAGTCCTTGAACGCTCCACATGCTGAGTTTCGTTCAACGTTCAACGAGCAAAAAGGCCATTATTCGTGTAAGTGTGGCTCGAAAATGGTGCGTCGTGGGTTATATATCTGTGAGGTTGCGGATGAACGGAGGTTGTTAGTTGTTGAAGGCTAGTTGCGCTTCGAAACTTGGAATCGGGAGATTGGGCGTACCAAGTTTTGGCGACAATAGTGCCGCGGAGGCATCCAAAAGGGCCCACTCAACCCTTGAGAGGCCGCGAGTCGGTCAGCACTTGAATATCGATGACACACGACGTGGTCACTGATATTTTACAGCCCAACGGGGCTGTAGGGGCTGACGACGACCCTCTTCACGTGTCGCCGAGAGAGCCTAGACGTCGCCGAGGTGTTCATGGGCATTTACGATTGTCTATGAAAGCTCGCCGAAACTCTCATGACACTGACAGGGGCAGTGAGCATCAGGTGAGCATTCAGCAGCTGCATTCGGGACGTGCCATCCCGCAAAACTGACTCGCCAGAGATCTCCTGAGTTGAAGAATTCGGCTCCGACTGGCCCCAAATATTACCATGTTCAGAATTTGGGAACGTTTGGAATTGGCGGGGCTGGTTTCTAGACAACGCATACGAATAATATTACAGCTACCGCCGTTACCAAGCTTTGTGGTCGAAAGGTGGCTTGGCGGAGGTTCGAGGCGTGTTGACTCAATTAACTTATATTGAATCTCGGGGTTGACTACCGATTGTAAACTTCAATGCACGAGACGATAGGCATGATGAGTCGTCAACCAGTTGACGGATCCGAGAACCCGCATCCGAATACGCAAATGAGCTGGGGATAAGAATTCAGGTGAGGCAGCAATCACATGAGGTAGTATGCAACATGGAGTCGGCTAGTCAGCAAGTCGTGAAGACATCGGGCCGCGAGGTTGCAAGCCGACTGGCAGTTGCAATAGGGTATCTGACTCAAGACTATGCAAACACATTCAATAATGGCTAAGTGTCTTGTGACCAAGTCTCGTGACTGAGTCAATAGAACGCAAGGCAATTAAGCTTACTTGATCAACATCAAAAGAGACTATGCAGATGAAGACTTTTTATCCCATGGACACTTGAACAATCGAATAAGCATTGAACTCAAGTAGGCATTCACTTGTGTAAAGGCAGTCATTGATCTTAACATAGCATGTTGCTAGTCTACTCCAGTTCTATCCCCAAAGTCTAACAGTACACAAAACCAGGAAACAAACATAACTCGCGTGATAACAGATGCA